TCTCCCTTTTTTCCTTTGTGAGCCTGGCTAGGGGTTTGTCTATTTTATTTATTTTTTCAAAGAACCAGCTCTTGGTTTCATTGATCTTTTGGATTGTTTTTTTAGTTTCAATTTCATTTATTTCTGCTTTGGTTTTTATTATTTCTTTTCTTCTACTGGTTCTGGGGTTTTTTTGTTGTTCTTTTTCTAGATCTTTGAGCTTCGAGATTAGGTTGTTTCTTTGAGTTCTTTCTTGTTTTTTGATGTGAGCTTCTATTGCTATATATTTTCCTCTTATTACTGCTTTTGCTGCATCCCATACATTTAGGGTATTGGTGTCCTCCTTGTCATTCAATTCAAAGAATTTTTTAATTTCTTCTTTGATCTCCTCGTTAGTCCAGTGGTCTTCCAGTAGTGTGGCTTTTAATCTCCATGAGGTAGGATAGTTCCTTGCCTTCTTTTATGATTTATTTCTAGTTGATGCCTTCGTGGTCAGAAAAGATGGTTGGTATGATTTCAATCTTGGTGTATCTGTTGATGTTTGTCTTGTGCCCCAGTATGTGATCGATCCTGGAGAATGATCCATGTGCGCTTGAGAAAAATGTGTACTCCGTTTTTTTTGGGTTTAGTGTTCTATAGATGTCTGTTAAGCCCAATTGCTCTAGGTCCTTATTTAGAGCTTTAGTTTCTTTACTTATTTTTTGTCTTGTTGATCTATCCATTGTTGATAGTGGTGTGTTGAAGTCTCCCACTACATATGTGTTTTCTCTGATGTCTGTTTTCAGAGAGGACAACAGTTGTCTGATATATTTTGGTGCTCTTTCATTTGGTGAGTATATGTTAATGAGTGTTATTTCTTCTTGAAGTATTGTCCCCTTAATCATAATGTAGTGACCATTGGGGTCTCTTTTTATTTTTTTGAGTTTGAAGTCTGTTTTATCTGATATAAGTATAGCTGTTCCTGCTTTCTTTTTGGCCCATTTGCTTGTAGGATTGTTTTCCATCCTTTGACTTTGAGCCTATTTTTATCTTTTGTAGCTAAATGTGTTTCCTGCAGACAGCAAAAGGTTGGGTTTTGTTTCTTAATCCAGGCTGCAACTCTGTGTCTTTTTATTGAAGAGTTTAGTCCATTTACATTTAGAGTTAATATTGATATGTTAGCATCTGTATTTGCCATTATGTTTGTCTTTCCTTTGATTTTATTTATTTATTCTTTTAATAACTTTTTTTTTTTTTTTTGCTCTTCTTTCGTTGTTATTCGTCCCTTTGAGGTTCTGGCTTTAGGATTCCTTGTAGTATTTTTTGGAGTGGGGGTTTAGTCGCAATGAAATTCCGGAGTTTCTCTTTGTCTGGGAAGGTCCATATTCTTTCTTCATGGAGGAAAGAGAGCTTTGCGGGATAGAGTATTCTTGGTTGGCATCTGTTTTCTTGGAGTCTGTTGACTATGTCCCTCCACTCTCTCCTTGCCCATAGTGTTTCTTCAGAGAAGTCTGATGTCAGCCTGATTGGTTTTCCTTTGAATGTTATCTGTTTCTTCCCTCTTGTCAGCTTCATTATTTTTTCCTTGTCCTGGATTCTTGGGAGCTTTACTATTATGTGTCTTGCTGTGTTTTTCCTTTCGTCGTGGAAGTTTGGTGTTCTTCTTGCTTCTTGTATATCAATTTTCAGCTCCTTCTTCTCATTTGGGAAGTTCTCTTCAATTATATCCATGAATATTTTCTCTGTTCCTACATCTCTCTCCTCTCCTTCTGGAATTCCTATAACTCTTATATTTCCTTTCCTCATGGAGTCAGATAGTTCCCGAAGTCTTTCTTCATTCTTTTCCTTCGTACTTCTCTTTCCTTTTCTGTTTTGGTTCTTTTTATTTCTGTGTCTTCAAGATTACTTATTCGTTCTTCCATTTCATCTATTCTGCTTTCATTGCTTTTCCCAGAGTTCTTTAGTTCCTCCATTAATTCTTTGATCTCCTGCATTTCTCTTACTTCCCTCTTTAGGGACTCAATTTCCTTCTTCTGATCTATCACTTTTTTAATCATGGCAATTTTAAATTCTCTTTCTGGAAGGCTCGAAGTTCTTCCAAGTTGCTGTCGTTGCAATCTGGGGAGTGGTTTTCTTTTTGTGGTGTGCTTCTTTCCTGAGGAGTTTTTAGGTTGCGTGTGGTTCTTCTACTCCCTACTGTCTGTTTTCTAATTTGTCGTATGCGTTGGGACACTGTGTTGCTCGGACTGACTGGCATCTTGGGTGAACTTCTCCGCTCCCCTCTGGCTCTTCCAGGAGCCATCTCTGTCTTCTGGGGGAGCTTTCTGCTGGTTTTAGGCAGTTTTTACTGAAGAAATGTCCCTGTTCTCAAATGGCGAAGCGGGATGCAGTCCCTGCGCCTCCGGTTTCAGGCACACTCTTCTGCGCACCCGGTCTGCCCCGGACGTGGGTGCCTGCTCCCTCTGTGGGCTCAGACTGCTGGTCGGAAGGGGCCTGGCGTGGAATAACTTCCCGGCTGGCCACTGGGTCCTCCAGAAACCTTCTGCCCTTTTCAAGCAGTCTTAAGAAATGTCCTGTTTTATAGGGTGTTAGTGACTTTTTTTTTTCCTGGTCGCTAGGTGGCGCCAGAGATCTCTCCTATTGTCCTTGGGGGGCTGTTTTTCGCCTCCCCCCACCCCGTGGGACAGAGAACAGAGCGGGAATGGTAGGGTACACCTCAACAGCTTTGGGGTGCTGTGTCTGCCTTGTGCCCCACCGTCGTGGAGAACCCACGCCCCGAATTTTCGTGCCCCGGGTCTCAGTTCAAAGCCCTCAGTTCCAGGACGTGGGCTGTAGCCCAGTTCAGTGGCGCGGGAATGGCGCCTTTTGCACAGCTCCCATGCCTGGGCGCCTGGTTCCTGCTCACTCAGGGAGGGACCTTCACCTCAGTGAGGACCTCCGTGCGTCTCCCCGCAAGCCTAAGTCGTCTCCCCGCAAGCCTAGGTCGCAGGCGCGGGGACCTGGGCAGCAGCGATCCAGGTCTGCACTTGCTTTTCAAGCTCCCCTAGCGTGCCGCGTTTCCGCGCCCGCTTACCGGCAGCCCGGGCTGTGTGCGCGTCTCCCGGGGTCTTTGTTCTTCTCTAATGGCGCCCGGAGCCGTTCGCTCACCGCCGCGCGGATCCTGCAGGGTTCGCCTCAGCTCCCGTTCACGGGGTGTGGTGGCTGCAATAGTTCCTTTCCACTCCCAGTCCAGCTTGCTGCGTCGTTTGTTCTTGTGGGCCGTTTTGGTTTGTTGTTTCCTCCTCTCTGCCGGTCGGAGAGTGCCGCCTCTGTGGGCGGGGGAGGGGAGCAGGGTTCTGCGCTTCCCTCCCCTCTAGTCCTCTTTTATGGCCACTTTCTTCTTCGGGCAGTTCGCTGGCGTCACCCGTTTATCTTCCGTGTCCCAGTTCTCACTGGGACCTGCCGCTTTTCCTCCCTATTCACTTTTTTTAATGGGAGATCTTACTCGCAGTGTCTCCTCGCCGCCATGTTGCTCCGCCCCCTAGAGACTTGTTTTTGATATTTTCTTTCTTATAGTTATTCTTTTTCCTGGTCCCTTATTTAAGTTTTCTAGATTCCTGCTATGAGTGAGACCATCTGGCATTTTTCTTTTTCTTTCTGGCTTTATTTCGCTGAGCATGATCCCTTCCAGCTCCATCCATGTTGCTGCAAATTGCATGTGTTTATCTTTTTGAACGCTGAGTAATATTCTATAGTGTATATGTACCACATTTTCTTGATCCAGTCATCTATTTTTGGGCATTTGGGTTGTTTCCAAAGCTTAGCTATTGTAAATAGTGCTGCTATAAACATAAAACTGCATGGTATTGGAACAAGAACAGCCACACAGACCAATGGAATCAAATAGAAAATCCAGAAATAAACCCACAGATTTATGGTCAACTAATCTTTGACAAAGGAGCAAAGAATATGCACTGGAGCAAAGAAAGTCTGTTCAATAAATGGTGCTGGGAAAACTGGGTCGCTACATGCAAAAGAATGAAGCTTGACTACTACCTAACACCATGCACAAAAACCAACTCAAAATGGATTAAAGAACTAGACATAAGACCTGAAACCATAAAATACGTAGAAGGAAATATAGGCAAAACACTACATGATATGTACAACAAAGACATCTTTACAGACACATCACCCAAAGCAGTGATAGTGAAGGCAAAGATGAACAGCTGGGACTACATCAAATTAAAGAGCTTCTGCACAGCAAAAGAGACAATAACAAAAACAAAGAGAAACCCCACCAACTGGGAGAACATTTTTGCACACAACACTAATGATAAAGGACTGATCACAAAAATCTACAAAAAGCAAGATGTATTTTAGCCTCTGTGCAGGAAAATTGGGGGAATTTCAGGAAAAGCACACCCAAGAGAACCAATAAGGTACATTTCTTTTTTAAAATTCAAATTCTGAGAATACATATTGTGCAACCTTACTAGGCTCATAGGTTCACTGTTCATTCAGACAAACAGAGAAGAATCTTGTAGACTTCAGGATCTCTAACATGTCTTTAATGCTCAATCAGGGGACTGGATTCATGGGCAGACCAGGAGGAAGGGAGTCAGCAACTGAGCTCCCTAACCTCCCTTTTATTCTTTGTTTCTTGGCCCAGGCGTCTGTAATCATAGGTGTGCATGCCCCACGCTCATGCTCCCACATGCTTTTTGCATTAACATGATATCAAATGGGGGTAACACAACCTGAGAGGAAAGCAAGGCCACCCACAGGTGGCAGCTGTAGAGGCTGGTGTTGGGAGGTGAAAAATAACCTAAGTACCCCATATTCCTTCCAATTCTTTAGCAGAATTTCAACAGATATGTTGAATGAATCAAGAGGAGCCTAATATGCTGACTTAAATACTTGGAAAATAAAGTAGTAGAATGGTTAAGAATTCCTATCTCTGAAGACAGAAAAGCATGGATGGGGCTTGCAGGATCCTGGTTGGGTGATCTTGGGTAAATTATTTAACCTTCCAAGCCTCACTTTCTGCTGTGTGCTAGGGCTCTTTTCAATAGTTATCTCACCTGGTTGTTCTGAAGATCAAGAGTTCCTGGTGTCTGGAAGTGCTGAGCGCCATGCCGGGCATCCAGCAAGGACTCAATCAATGGAGTTATTGTCATTCACTCTCCCGCTTCTGACAGCAGCATCTTCTCACTGTTTGTTGGTCTTCATAGATTCTATAGCTGTCCTTCGTGGAGTGGAGGCCTAAGAGTGAGCAGGAAGGACTGAGTCAATGACCAGTGATGGCCCCAGGACCCAAAGCAAATTATGCTGTCTTAAAACTGTACTAGATTTTGTGCCTGCCCAATTAATTTGCTCTTTTCCTGGCAGAATGTGGCACAAATATAGGAATAGATGGCATTGGCTGTGGAAGTCAGGGGTTAATATTCCATCAAATCTCCAATATTCTCTAAGTCAGAGTTCATTTGATTGCTGAACATGACTCCAAGGCTAACTTAACTAAACCTCTTGTGGAAGAGAAATTCAGGAGAATTAATACAAGGTTCAGACGCTCATGTCAGAGGGAGAAAGATGTAGGGAAACAAAGGAATGTAAAAAACATTTCATGGCCACGGTTGATCAATCACTGTGACCTGGTCTCCCAGAAAGACCACAGAGAAAGTCAGACAATGAATTTGCTAGCATAGGTGTGATCACAATTGCTTTTAATAACAAACCTGCTTTGCAAATCATTTCATGTCAACCAGTTTAATATTCTACTGTGACGGATTGATGGACTACTCTATAGATAAAATAAATAGTAAACATAGCCTATCTTATCATCAATAAGACAGGTGACTCTGAGTAGCAGCAATCTTCTAACAAGTTTGGAAAAAACATTTTCTTGTGATGTGGATGCTAATCACGATCAGAGCAGTCCTGGTTGTGCAGTGTGCTTGTGTGATGGCTGTGGTCACAGCTTGAAGGCGTTGCTAAGAGTGCATGCTTCTCCCTCCAGTGAAGCTTGAGTTATACGGAATGACTAACATCTTGCAGAATAAAATTAGAATTCTGAATAACCTTGACAAATTGAAGAACTAGTCATAAACTGATGAAGCCCCAGACATGTAAGGTCACAATAGTTTATGTAAGAGAATACCTTCATAAATGAATGCCTGAGGAAAAACTACATTAACAATGACTATGTACCTTTTATGGGAAGGTATAGAAGGAACTTTCTTTAGAAGCTGTTTAAAGACTACAGGCTTGGCAGTCAGATAGACCTGAACTGAATTAAGAGTTTCCACTTTGAGATGTGCTTTCTGAGAAAAGTCCTTACCTCTACCACCCATGGTTTCCTCTTCAGTTAAAAAGGAGATCATGGCCCTTACTTTACACCATTTTTAAAGATACATAAAGAAAATCCCGAGTGGTAGACACCGTTGTTTGGCTGCCCAATACTCATTTCCTCCTTCCTAGGTGTTAACAGAAACTTTAAATGCTCATAGGTGACCGCATGCCCTATGGCATGGTAATGCTATCCCAGCACAGGGGTAAATTCTGATGAGCCCTGGCAAACAATTGCTGGAGTCTCCTGTCTATAGATATCTTGATGTGTGTGAAATAGTAAATGTTCTTATTATGTAAATCAGGGCTGTTCTTGTATTATTGCCAAAAATTCCTCATTGAAAGAGATGTGAAGTGCCTGATATAAGACTGCTACTCAAAAGCCAGGTTAGTCATACATTTTAATTATTCATTTCTCTATAGCATTTGACCCTGTTTCTGCCTTTTTATGCAAGTTTATCCTCTTTTGCCTTAGGTGACACTACTTTCTTCTAGTTTTTTTAAAATTTTTTCAAAGATTTACTTATTTATGCATACAAGAGCTGGGGTACAGGCCAGATGTGTGTGGGGGTGGGTGAGAGAATTCACCAGAGACAGAGTGGGGAAAAGAACAGGTAGACTGACTGAAATACACTGCTGAGCAGAGCAGCGGGCAAGTCAGGAGAGGTCTGCTGCACCCTGTGGGCAGGTCCCTGGCCTGGGCTTGAACTCGTGCTGCAGTGGCGGCGGATAGCTTCATATGTTGCGTCTTCACCCCTTGCACCACCAGGGAGGCCCACTTTCTTCTAGTTTTTTACTCAAGTCTCTGGTTGCTGGTTCCTTTTTTTTTTTTTTTTTTTTTAAAGATTTATTTATTTATTTATACAAGCACTGGGTACAGTCAGAAGCGCGGGAGGGTGAGAGAATTCACCAGAGCCAGAGCGGGAAGCAGAGCAGGCAGAAGGACCAAAGAACACTGCTGAGGGGAGCAGTGGGCAGCAGGAGAGGTCTGTGCGCCATGTGGGACCCTCCTCCAGTGGCCGGGGAGCAGCTGGGAATCGAACCAGCACTACAGAGGCTGCGGGCAGCTTTACAACCCAGCGCTCAACCGCTGCGCCACCGGGGAGGCCCTGGTTGCTGGTTCTTAGTCTTAGAGGACAGCTTCCCTTTGCCTGCCCAACCCATGAACACCATTCTCTTCAGGTTTCTATCCTGAACTTTCTTTGTTGACTTCATCTGCTCCTTTGGCTTTGTGATTCTTAAGCAGTTATCTCTAGCTCTCTCTCTTTCTAGATCTTGATCATATAATTCCGTTGTCCATTATTGGACATCTCTGCTTGGATGTTCTTCCCAACCAGAACTCCTATATTCACCATTTCCCCTGTCACCCCTACCTACCTCTCCCCCTGCATCTCCTTTTGTGAGGAATCACACCACCAGCCCCCAATATTTCAAGTTAGAAACTTTCAGTCATCACCTGTAGCTTTTCCCTCTCTTTTGTATTTCACATGCAATTATTCTATTGCTTTGATATCTCCAAATCTGTCCTATTCCCCATATTTTCACTGCTCATGTTTTGGTTCAGTATTTCTAACATTCAGCAACTCTAATATGGATTATTATAATGATCTCTTTGCCTGATTCCTGCTTTCCAGTTTCTTTTATTCTCCACCATCTTCTAGGCTGTAACAGTAGAATAATATTGCTAAAACACAAAGCTCAGCAGGCCACTGCCGTGTTTAAATATCCCTTGATCTTTTCAAAACAAAATGTACTTAACATAGTCAACAAGGCCCTTTCGTGATTGAGTCTAGCAGTTCTCATCCTGACATTTTGGAATCACCCAGAGTAATTTAGAAAATACCAATGTGGAAGGGTTAAGAAGATACGCCCTAAATATTTAACCTTCTATTGATTCTGTTTTACCCATTTACAGACTATGTAATCAGGGCCAAGAACTACTACAGACAGTTAATTCTCCAGTTTCAACTTGAACTACTTACCTCTTAGCATTTGTACTAATTAATTAATTAATTTGCATATTGTCAAGTTGGTGATATTCTCTCAAATTTTTGCTCTTCATAGTTGCTGCAGGGACCGTTCTTCATGCTTCATCACTAGACTTGCCAGTCCATCAGCTCTTGTTTCTGATGTCAGTCCCTCTCGCAGGGATAGGCTGTGTGCCTTTCCATGTTTCCCATGGGCCGCCTCTTTTCTTCCATCACATCATTTATTCAGTTGTATATGATTGTCCCATCCATCTCCACTCATGAGCTGAGGCCATGTATCTTAGTCTTCTCATTCTTGTGTCTAGAATAGTCCCTGCAATAAATATTTGAAAGAAATAATGACATCTTGCCTGAAGAAGGCACAATACTCATCTATTTTACTCTCCCTTTTTCACCACTAACTAGTCATGCAGGCAACCTCTAAGATGATTTCCTGTGACCCATCTCCAAGCATCCCTGTCCCTCTGTCATCTACCCCCTCAAAGGTGGCTAGATTTCCTGACTCCTCTCTAATGAATTGCAGAAGGGGTGGGAGCCACTTTCAAGACTAGGTTGTGGCTAATCTTGTGACTGGCTCTGTGCTGGGTATTCCATTCATACACTTTCTCACTTGTTCACTCTGAAGGAAGCCAGCTGCCACGTTGGGATTGTCCTGTGGAGACATCCATAGGCCAAGGAATGAGAGACACAGTTGGCAAACCTAGTGAGGAACAGAGACCCTTCATCTATAGCCTGCAAATAACTAAATTCTGCCAATAACCACAGTGAAATTGGAGGCCAGTTCCTCCTCCAGCTGATCCCTTAGCAACAGCTTAACTGCAGCCCCTAGAGAGGCTGGGAGCATAAGGTACCCAGCTCAGCAGCATCCTGATTCTTGACCTACAGAAACAGGGGAGGTAATAAATGTGGTTTTTAAACTGTTAAGGTTTGGGGTCATTTGTTACACAGCAGTAGATAACAAATACATCATGTGGATAGCCTCAAGCCATGATTTAATTCATCACACTGTTGTTCCTTCATTGTAAAAATGGGATAATACCACCCACTCCACCCGGCTGTTATGAGACTGAAATTATATGATACAAATAAAAGCTGTTTGCATAAAGTGTGAACATAAAAGTAAAATACCTTCTCCAGAAATATTAGAGGCCTTTTCAGTTTTAATTGTTTAATATAAAGTTTCATGAGCTTCTAGAATTAATGAGTTAAAGGTGTCTGGCTCACGAACGTCATTATATCTTCTGTGATGGGATGACACTGGAGTGTCCAGCTGTGCATTTAATTAATTTAACACTAAATGTCTGTAAACACGTCTCTTTTTCCATATGTCAGCTGATAATTAACCCCTGTAAAAAATTACAGCATCCTCCTTGCTTGTTTTAGCTCTCTATTTACGTTAAACCCAAGGACTGCTTCTTTTCCCAAAAGAATTCAAAAATGTAGAAAGGAGGAGAGGTGCTATATTCAAAGACATAACAGATGTCTCTGCCCAGATCCCAGGCCATGGCATGGGTAGAGCCATTTGGCCATTTGGTGAGTACCTTGCCATACGTTATTACCCCAACCTGTGAGACGGTGAAGAAGGTGGACTCAGCTCCCAGGGAGTCACCATGGAATGGGGGTGATGGAACCTTGAAAGTTTCATGTGCAGTGGGACTAATATGTGTTATCTGGACAATGGATCCTGTAATCCTTAAGAAGTAAAATAGATAACTAGGATGAGCCCCAGGATTTGAGATCTATTTTCTCTGAATAATACTGAGTTTGAACCCATGAATAATACTTAGTTTTTAATCTGCTTTTGATACCGATACTGAGATGGTGTCAGCTTGTACTTGGGGGACCCATTTGGGCCTGGGCTGCATCTGTCATATAGTCACATGTCACCTTGGGCAAGCCGGGAATCTCTTTGAGACCATTCCTGTAAATTTACATGATCATATGTAACTAACAGTTTTGTTAGAACTACAAAGTGAGATTTTATTTACAAAAATTTATAACTCTTTAGATATTTTTTAAGGGTAGTTTTTGTCATTAATAAGATTTAGACTTTCAGCATGTTGTAGAACATACGCCTTGAGATTGGAAGGACTTTCAGATGCCTCATAACCTTATGTAGGAATCTTCTTGCTTTGCCAGTGAACAGTACTTTGGAAAAAATGCACAGACTTCAGTCTTTTCATGAGCACAGCTCTCATGAGGAAAATTTTGTCCAGTGAAACTTCACATCCAGCTTGGCAGTACGGCAAGATCTAAAACACATTATACGACCCTCCTAGATAATATTCCACCTTGTGCTCTTGAAATCCTCCTAAAGTTCTGGACATCTTATAGCCAGATCAAAAATCAAAGACCAGCACAAAGACTTGAGAATGACCGAGAGTGTCTAGCTTTTTTCCCTCTTGAACTAACAGAGGCATGAAGAGACAGTCAGTGTAGCCTCTGGGTCCTCCTTAAAGTTTAGGGCTCTTCAGCTGTGGAATCCAAATTACTCGTCTGGATGCTCGCCCAGAGCAAGGCTCTGGCTTCGAATTCTCTGGACAGCAGCCATGCCGAAGACGTTAGCCAGGCCAGCATGTAGAGGAGAAACATGGGACACACTTCTCGGGTAAGGACACAGGGGAGGTTTCTAGAATATCTCTGGAGGGGGCTTAGTCACCAGCTTTGCAGACTAGAGAGCCATAGCCTCCACTCCCCAACTTGAGTAATAATTATCAGTCCTGCAGAATGGAAAAGTGCTTCAGGAGGCTGGAGAACAGCAATGGCTGAATTCTGATCAGGGGAAGTCTTTTCTTCTAACAGGAAACTGCCAGCCTTCACATTAAACTTTTCCCCATTTGGAAAGAGAAATTAGTGGGTTTGATTATGACAGTGTCTGAAGCTAAATTATGAGGTTATTGAAAATGTCAATGAAGCTGCCCTATTTAAAACACTAAAGCACAGTATTTGAACATTGATTGAAGTATTTAAGGCTGGCATAGCTGAGCATGTATAGTAATACTGAGATACTTCATCAGATATGTGATATCTGTAGAGAACTATAGAATAAAACAACTTTTAAGATTAAGTCTCTTAGAAAAAGTTGTGGAGGAAAGTCTCACAGACCATTCAACATGATAAGTGATTCAATGAAATTACAGTCCGGTTGGTTTTAATTTTTTTAAATATCTGACTGTTTTTGAGTATTCAATGTTACCATGTTTCAAGCATAATAATCAGTAGAACTAGCAAAAATACCATGTTTTCTACATTTGGAATTTAACTTGTTTGTCACTTGTACAGAGATTTTTGTAACAGCTCTATTTAGCTCCTGAAAAATAAGTGGGAAAAAATCCAAATACTTAAACAATGGGAGAATTTTTAGCAACTTTGTAAATATAATGAAATGCTTATTGCAAAATCTTTTAAAAGAAGTAAGCAGAATATATCAATATATAACAATGGCTCTACAAAAGAGTATTGAGTATAAATCACAAAATAGAAAAATGAAATACATACACAAATTACAAATGCATAAAAATATGTTCCTGTGTTCAGCGAGAGAATTGGAATTTAGCCAAATGGAATTTGTTGTATGTTTTTTATCTGTGAGGTTATGATACAAATATTTTTAATAATAAAAAATTTTTCTGTTGCAATTTCAAGAAACCACATGCATGTATAGAGAGTTTATGAAAATTCAGGGACTTTCATCATTCTCAGAGAGTGGATAGAGAGAGCATGAAAGGAAAAGTAGTATCTTGAAGAGTCATCTGGATGAGGGGTCAGCAAACCACAGCCTGAGTTATTGAGCCTGCTGCCTATGTTTTTAAGTGAAGATGTACTAGAAGATAGTCATGCCCATTTATTTAAGCCCTGACTACATCTGCTTTTCAGTTACAAGGATGAAGTTGAGTACTTCTAACAGAGACCATTTGGCTGGAAAAACTTAAATATTTAACTATGTGGACCTTTACCAAAAAGGGTTTTGACTCCTAATCTAGATTATTGCTTCAGGAGATATGAATCTATTTTCATTCATGGGATTTCCATTTAAATAACAGATATGGGTAAAAACCCCAAACTGCCTCAAATTATTTATTTATTTATTAATTTTATTTTTATATTCCCCATACAATTGCAACCCCTTTATTTTGACCCCAAGCCCTCCCCTCCCCGCCCTCCACCCCTCATAGAGTGTCTCTGGTTCATAGTTGTTTGTTGATTGTGATTTTTACTTTCTTACAGTTATTCATTTTCCTGGTACCTTATTTAAGTTTTCTAGATTCCTGCTATGAGTGAGACCATCCAGTATTTTTCCTTTTCTTTCTGGCTTATTTCGCTGAGCATGATCCCTTCCAGCACCATCCATGTTGCTGCAAACTGCATGTGTTTATCTTTTTTGAATGCTGAGTAATATTCCATGGTGTATATGTACCACATCTTCTTGATCCAGTCATCTATTTTTGGGCATTTGGGTTGTTTCCAAAGCTTAGCTATTGTAAACAGTGCTGCTATAAACATAGGGGTGCAGGTGCTCTTTGGAGTTGATGTTTCTGTGTCCTTTGGATAAATACCTAGGAGTGGAATTGCTGGATTACATGGAAGCTCTATGTTTAGTAGGTCCAGAAATCTCCACACAGCTCTCCATAGTGGTTGGGCCAGTTTGCACTCCCACCAACAGTGCAGAAGAGTTCCTTTTTCTCCACACCCTCGCCAACATTTGTTGTTGCTAGTATTTTTAATATGTGCCATTCTCACTGGTGTGAGATGGTATCTTATGGTAGTTTTGATTTGCATTTCCCTGATTACAAGTGATGTTGAACATTTTTTCGTATGCCTGCTGGCCATTTGCATTTCCTCTTCAGAGAAGTTTCTTTTTAGCTCTTCTGCCCATTTTTTGACAGGATTATTTTCTTTGTTGTTGAGTCTCATCAGCTCTTTGAAGATTTTTGTGATCAGTCCTTTATCATTAGTGTTGGGTGCAAAAATGTTCTCCCCGTTGGTGGGGTTTCTCTTTGTTTTTGTTATTGTCTCTTTTGCTGTGCAGAAGCTCTTTAATTTGATGTAGTCCCAACTGTTCATCTTTGCCTTCACTATCACTGCTTTGGGTGATGTGTCTGTAAAGATGTCTTTGATGTGCATTTCATGTAGTGTTTTGCCTATATTTCCTTCTATGTATTTTATGGTTTCAGGTCTTATGTCTAGTTCTTTAATCCATTTTGAGTTGGTTTTTGTGCATGGTGTTAGGTAGTAGTCAAGCTTCATTCTTTTGCATGTAGCGACCCAGTTTTCCCAGCACCATTTATTGAACAAACTTTCTTTGCTCCAATG